TATATATATATATATATATATATATATATATATATATATATTACTCGAGAGGGACATCGAGTAATATAAAGTGATAAATATTAAAATATAATAAGCAAAAAGACTGCGTGTTAAGTCACACGTGCCATCACTCACGTGATTGGCTTGCAGGGCACATATGACTAGTATATTCATACAGCAACCTCAAGGTTTCATTCATCTATAGTATCTGAGGCATGTCTACAAACTACAAAAAGTTATTTATAGATTTCATCAAGCACCAAGAGCTTGGTATACTGAACTTGGCTTGTTTTTTACATCAACGGGTTTCATCAACTCCAAGTATGATACCTCATTATTCCTACGACAACGAAATGGAAATATAATATATCTTTTAGTGTATATGGATGATATTATTGTCACAAGCAATGATCATCTAGAGATTTAGGCATTTCTAAAGCAACTGACTAATTGATTCTCACTCAAAGATCTTGGAACCTTGAGTTATTTTCAGGGAGTAGAAGCAACATTTACATCCTCATGCCTCCTCCTATCACAAGAAAGTATATTCAAGAGTTATCATCAAAGACAAACATCCAAGATGCGAAAGAGGTTACAACTCTCCTCTCTACTAGTGAATCATTTAAACTATATGATGGAAGTCATGCTACGAATGCTACTCAATACTGACAAGTACTTGGCTCTTACCCGTCTAGATATCTCATTTGCAGTCAATAAATTATTATAATTCATGCATTAGTCATCTATTACACATTGGTCTGCGATCAAACGAATTTTGTGGTATCTTAAGGGGACCATCAATCATGGCCTCTTTCTCTGCAAGCACACCCTCCTTCATTTCCATGCCTTTATTGATGCCGATTGGGCAGGAAACTTTGATGATATAACGTCCACGTTGGGATATATTATTTTCCTTGGAGCTAATCTAATCAGTTGGAGTTCTAAAAAGCAAAAGACAATCATACGATCTACAATTGAAGCTAAATACCGTGTCATCGCCACTCTTGCTGCTGAGCTTAATTGGGTCACAAATCTACTTAAGGAACTCAACGTCGACTCTATTTCTCCTCCTATAATATATTGTAATAATATTGGAGCTACCTACCCATGTGTTAATCCAGTGTTTCATTCACGTATAAAACATATTGCCATCGACTTCTACTTTGTACGAGATTAAGTTGTCAAACATCAACTATGTATTTCTCATGTACATACAGTTGATTAACTAGCAGACTTATTCATAAAACCTCTCACCCGTAAACTATTTTCGTTATATCGGTTTAAGATTGACATCCTTAACAAGAGCTCACTCTGGTAAGGGCATGATAACAGATAAGATTTCTTCAACTGCATGAAAAAATCTCGTTGGACAGTTAAGGAAAATCTTTATTTCTCACGTGTATAAATAAGATATTGTACTTAACAATTTCAAGTGTATTTTTTATCATCACAATTCAACTCATCAAAAGTCCACGTCATTCAATCTAACAAATGTAGAAGAGAAAGAAAACATGTAGTATCTCATTGAATTATCACAAAAGAATTTTTATACAGACTGTTCAACCCCTAATGCTCTATACCCAATTTTCTCGAGTCCAACCTTGGAAACTGACCACCCTATGTTAGCTAGCTTGCGCTCAGCATCTTCGGCCTTGGCTTCCGGTCAAACTTAGGAAGAAGAAGAAGCCAAACCGGTCTACTCTTCTCACCTTATTTTAGGTGTGCGGATAAGACAAAGAATCACACACTAGCGAATTGACAAAGTGAGACAGGGGAAGAAGGAACGAAACGAGTCGAACGAAGACCAGTAAGGTTCAAAACCATTATTCTTGAGCTTTTTGATGTGTTTAAAGCCCTTTCTTTAGGCTTTAAAGAGTTCAAAGGAGTCGTGTTTTGGCCGACGTCTACGTTACACGTTTTGTTTACAGTGCACTATAAATGCCCACCTATCTGTCAAGTTCGTATCATCCTCTCTCCCTCTCTCTCTCTCTCTCGCTTTCTCTATCAACTCAATCTGCTAGAGTTAGAGCTTCAAGGCGTAAAAGAGGCCATGGAGCTTCATGACGATGCTCGTAGCTCTGACTCACCGTCAAGCGAAGAGGACGACCTGAGAAAAGGGCCTTGGACTGTAGAAGAAGACCTTTTACTGATGAACTATATTGCCGTCCATGGCGAGGGCCGATGGAATTCAGTAGCCCGTTGCTCAGGTAGCAGATCGATTCCTCGTTCGCTAATTGTTCCTTACAGTCATACTTGCAAGAGAGAGCATCTCTCATGACTTTTTCGGATATGAAACAGGTCTCAAGAGAACCGGTAAGAGTTGCCGGCTCCGGTGGCTCAACTATCTCCGCCCGGATGTCCGGCATGGCAACATTACTCCGGAAGAGCAACTCCTCATTCTCGAGCTTCACTCTAGCTGGGGAAACCGGTGAGCGAACTCCACAGAAGAACCTTTTAGCAACCTTGTCTTCCACACGACACCTAGTCCTGAACAGAGTGTCATGGATGGTTCTCCTTGTAGGTGGTCGAAGATAGCACAGCACTTGCCGGGGAGGACGGACAACGAGATCAAGAACTACTGGCGGACGAAGGTGCAAAAGCATGCAAAGCAACTCCAGTGCGACGTCAACAGCAAGCAGTTCAAAGACATCATGAGATACCTGTGGATGCCTCGGCTCATGGAGCGGATCCGTGCAGCTTCCGTGCACCAGCATGAACGGATTGCGAACAGCGAAACCCACGAGCTTGTGCAGGAGAAGAGCAGCGCATTTGGTTCATCGGATGCGGAGTCGTTCGAGATGCAGGATCCGTCACCCGCGGCCTCCGACTGCTTCGCCGTCAGCACCCAGGGAAGCGATCACGACATGACTGGTGATTGGTTCGAGAAGTCGCAGTTCAGCACCTGGTGGCGGGAGACTCTACCGAGCCCCGGAAGTTATGACGACGTCTTCGGGCTGGTGGACTTTGATCAGAGTCGATGGGGGCAGAGCCTATTCGGTATGGATGATGATATGTGGTTGCGGCGGCAGCAGTTTTAGTATGGGAAAGAAGAGTTCAGTC